CCCCATCCTCACACCCCCCCCATCCCCGTCCCTTCACCCACCATGTCCCCAACCCTTCACCCACCGTGTCCCCATCCCTTCTGCCATCGTGTCCCCATCCCCTCTGCCACCACGTCCCCATCCCCTCTGCCACCGTGTCCCCATCCCTTCTCAAGATGGCTTCTGCCTTGGAGCCTTGATCCTCTGCTGGGACCATCTGGCTCTTGGCTGACCATTTCCCTGAGCCGGAACTCCGCTGGTTCCCCGTCCCCGCGCCACGTTAACCCTCTCCGAGCCGGAGAGGGCTGCTGGGGATGTTCTCTTTCCCCGACAGATTTGGGGTCAATCAAGGAGGAGGAGACATGGCAGCAGGATGCTCTTGAGCAAGCGGATGCACCGGTGGAACCCCCAACCTCCAGCCAGCAGTGGTCCCCAGGGACCCATCCTGGGGGATCCCCGCTCCCGGGGGACAACAGGAGCGATGGCGGCCCCACACCCCTGCCGTGGGTGCGGGAGGAGCTTCCGTTGCCGCTCGGCGTTGGTGAACCACCATCGCATACACACGGGCGAGCGACCCTTCAGCTGCCAGGATTGCGGCCGCCGCTTCAACCGTCGCTCCAACCTGACCACCCACCGACGCATCCACACCGGCGACATGCCCTACAAGTGTCCCGATTGCGGGAAGAGCTACCGCGTCAGCTCCACCCTCCTACGGCATCAGAAGACGCACACAGACGAACGACCCTACCGGTGCGAGGAATGCGGGAAGAGCTTCAGGCATAGATCGACGTTGACCATCCATCACCGCGTGCATTCGGGGGAGAGGCCCTACAAGTGCCCCGAGTGCCACAAGAGCTTCAAGAACAGCTCGGAGCTGGTGCGGCACGGGCGGACCCACACCAGCGAGCGACCCTACGATTGCTCCCAGTGCGGGCGGCGTTTCGGCGACAGCTCCCAACTGGTGCGGCACTGGCGGACCCACACCGGCGAGCACAAGCATTCCGACCCGACCTGCGGGAAGAGCTTTTCCAACCGTCCCCGGCTCGCCAAGCACCAACAGGTGCACACCGGTGAGAAAGATTACCGCTGCCCCGACTGCGGCAGAGGCTTCAACCGTCGCTCCAACCTCCTGGTTCACCAGCGGTCCCACCTGGAGCAGAAACCCTTTATTTGCCTGGATTGCCCCAAAAGCTTCACCAGCAGCACCCAACTCATCCAGCATCGGCAGATCCACAGCAAGGAGAAGCCTTAGGGTTACGCCGAGCGCAGCGAGAGCTTTCGGCGCAGCTCCGGTCTCGTCGCGCGTCGCAAGAGGCACCAGCCAAAGATGGGGGCCACCCCACCGGGGACCATCCCCATCCTGGTGGCACCTCAGACCTACCTACACGTCACGGTGGTCCCTGGCGGTAGCACCGAGGGGTAACCAACCCATCCACCCTCATCCCACCAGCTGTTTTTTTTCTTTCCCTGTATGTTTTTATATGTAAGGGGGTTTTTGGGGGAGGTGGTTTTAAAAAAAGACACCCCCGTCCTCTGTTTTTTTGCCTTAGCTTATAGATGAGGGGGAGGGAGGGAGGGGAAACCCATGAGCTTCACCCAAGAAAAAAAGAAGTCACGGTAAAATGGGTTTTTTCTAGATGTCTGAGTTCAATTTCTTTATTTTTTCAACCCTATTTAGGGTCTTTTTAAGGGATGGGGATGGATCAAAAGAAAATCACAGCCAAAATAAAAGCATTTGCGTGTTGGCATCGTGTGAGTATCTCTGTGGTGGTGACAAAGCGGGGGCCGTGTGGGTGGAAGAGCCTTGTCTGGAGGGGAAAACCTGAAAAAAATCCCCAATTTCGGGGGGCCGGGAGCATCTCCTGCGCCCGGAGGGTGTGAGCCCCCGCCCCCCCCCCAGGAAGCGGCTGCAGGGGTGGTGGGGCTGGGGTGGAGACCCTGGCGACCCTGGCGCTGGGATCGGGCTCTCCCATCCCCCTCCGTTTCCCTTGGACAAGGATGAGGGGTCAAACCAAACCCTGGACGAGGTTTATTTGGCGCCGACGGTTACGTCGCAGGGGTGTGCAGCAGCCTTCCAAAACGTGGACGCTGCGAGCCCCCGTGTCCTCCTCGCTCTCCGCCCGTCCACGGAGGTGTCCCACCACTCCCGCGCAGCACCACTGGGAAAAAGCCAACCCTAGAGATGGCCAAGCCCCAGCCTGGGTGAAAACAGGGTGGTTTGGGTTCAACGAGGCCATACCGAGGAGGTGAGTGGAGGAAAAAGTTTATTGCGGCCGAGTTCTTGTTTAGTTTCGGCAGGACGAAGGGAGCAAGAGCAGGACGTGGAGTTGGGCTGTGCCCGTCTCCATCCCTAAGGTGTTGCAGGAGCCTCTTCCGAAGCCCTTTGGACAACTCAAGAGTTCGTTCATCCAAAGACGAACCGTAGATGGGCAGGACAGAGGTTGCATGATGCCGCCGAACAACATCACGTGGAAAAAAAAAACAAACCAACCCACAAACACCTGTAAATGAGGACGAACTCAGCCTGGCGTGTCCCAACAGGGTTGTGGGACCGTTTCCACCCCGTTTCTTCCTTCCCGAAGAAGCCGAGTCCCGAGCGGTGCCTTCGAAATCTTGGTCTGTGCCCAAATCCATCCACCGTTTGGCTGCGGAAGAAGCCCGTGGTCCACGTGGCGTTGCTTGATGCCACCAGAAGAAATCGCTGGACCAAGCAGATGTGACTTTTTGGAGTCTGAAGCCAACGAGTCCACTCTCCCTAATGAAGTTCTGCCATTGGTCTGCGTCCCACAGCTGAGCCCGTCTCAGCAAATGGATGTTCCTACCTGCATTCATCCAGGTCCCTGCGGGGAACCAGGAAGATGTGGGGACCACCAGCCAGGTCTCTACCCAACGTGGGTCACCAGGGCTCTACCCAACGTGGGTCCTCCGATGGGTGATGAAGTTCGAGCAGCGGATAAAGCTCTTCCCGCAGTCGGGGCACTCATAGGGCTTCCCTTCCCGGTGGGTCCTTTGGTGTTTAATCAAGGCAGAACTCACGGTGAAGCTCCTACCGCACTCAGGACACTCATAGGGCTTCTCCCCGGTATGGATGCGTTGGTGGGTCATCAGGTTGGAGCTGCGGTTGAAGCTCTTCCCGCAGTCGGGGCAGCGGTAGGGTCTCTCACCCGTATGCGTCCGCTGATGCCTGATGAGGTCCGAGCTGTTCCTAAACCACTTCCCGCAGTCAACGCACCGGTAGGGCTTCTCCCCGGTGTGGACACGCTGGTGGATGATGAGGCTGGAGCTCTGGCTGAACATCTTCTCGCACTCCTCGCACTTATAGGGTCTCTCCCCGGTGTGGATCTTCTGGTGGCGGATCAGGTAGGAGCTGACGCTGAAGCTCTTCCCGCACTCGGGGCACTTGTAGGGTCTTTCCCCGGTGTGGGTGCGTTGGTGGGACGTGAGGTTGGAGCTCTGGTTGAAGCCCTTCCCGCAATCGGGGCATTTGTAGGGCTTCTCGCCGGTGTGCAAGCGTTGGTGGGTGATGAGCGTGGAGCTGTCGCTGAAGCTCTTCCCGCAGTCGGGACACTTGTAGGGCTTCTCCCCGGTGTGCAGACGTTGATGGGTGATGAGATGGGAGCTCCGGCTGAAGCTCTTGCCGCACTCCAAGCACTTGTAGGGCTTCTCGCCGGCGTGCAACCGCTGGTGCACCGCCAGGTTCGAGCTCCGGCTGAAGCTCCGGCCACATTCCTCGCAGATGGTCGGTCTTTCCTCCTCCGAGCTTCGTGGGGTGGGTTTGCAGCCTCTCCCCGTGGAGCATCTTCTTGGCTTTTCCTCTTCGTTGACCTCCTGCCCCGTGGAGCATCTCCTGGACTTTTCCTCCCCGTTGACCTCCTGCTCCATGGAGCCCTTCAAAACAGCCTCTTCCGCAAGGTTCTGCCGGCGGGGTTTCTCCTCCGTGTTCTCCATCCCCACCTCATCGCCTGCCGGAGGAAGGAACAAGGAGAGGAAGGGGATTTGCATCCGTGCCAGGGGGAAGGGGAAGGAGATCCTCCCAGATCCGTTTCCGGCAGGACGGCGTCAGCGACAGGGCTGTCCTGCAGCCCGAAGCGATGCCCGGCTGGAAGACGGAGGAGAAGAGAGGATGAAAGGCCGAGTGAATTCCTCCTCACCTGCCTGGGTATCTCGTAGCATCTCCTCTTCCTCGCAGCCTCCTCCTCTTCATCTGGCCAAGGTTTGGGAATGGGAAATCCTGGGTTTGGGGGGGGGGAAACAAGCTGTGAGCGCGTTCCCCAGTTTGGGTTGTGGGTTGCTCCTGCCCAAGTCCATCCCTACTGAGAAGTCAACGGGCAGGACACCACCAGCATCGCGTGTCCCTAAAACCCTCCAAACCACCAAGACGCAGCCCAAAAAAACCCCCCCGCAACACCGAGATGCGGCCAAGACGTGGGGCCAGCGTTATAAATGCAGAGATCCATCCTCAAAGGGGAGGTGGAGGAGAAGTAAGGACCTCGTCCTGCTTGGGAAATGTGGTTACGGGAAGGGAAGGACCAGCGTCACGGCCCTGCAACCCCTGTCCCACCGGAGCTGGAGAGGGGGAGAAGGCCAAGGGCAAGGTCAGCGACGTGCCTGGCTGCGGCTCAGCCCCGAAATCACTTGCTCTCAGGCCCAGAACCACCCGACGCAGCACCCAGACGTGAGTGGGAAGGAAACG